ATTTATATACATTAACACAGGCTCTAATTTGGGATCAGAGAAAATCTCTCTTATATCGGGGTTTCTCTTATATCCGGGTCTCTTATATCCGGGTTACACTGTAATAATTCTACCATTTTGAAAGCCATAAAATGATCATTTAGAATTTAAAGTTAATTCTTTTAAGATTAAACTTTCTAAGACCAAATTTTCTTAGATCGAATTTTCGTATTTTGAATAAAATAATAAAGTTAGGCACCTTAGATCAACTGCTCTTAGAACAAAGGTTAATTAATTATTCAGACCATCTGGTAATTTCTGGCTTGAATTACCTGGGTATGGTAATTTTCTAAGCGTAGCTTAATGTGGTACAAGGGCGACAGTATAGAGCACCCATTAAGAATCGAAATCACAACTCAGTCAGTAATTGATCTAGTGAAACAAGCTTACTAACAATCACACCACGTTGAAGTATGAACAAAAAGGTAAGTCAGTCAAAAAGCTTCTACTAAGATAATTACAAATGCAAAATAAAAGGAATTTATATTGCTTTAATTAACACCTTCGCTGTTGTGGACGTACGTCTTTACAAAACTTACATTACCTGCGGCCGACGTATATGTACGTTTTTAAGTGAAATGTCGGTCACTGGCGTCTCTGTTATAAACAAACTGGCGCTTGGAAATATTTTCAAACAGTTCTAGACATTGAGTAGCGTACAATACAACCTGCTTTGTGTGCTGGGGTGTCGTTTAGCTTAGCCTGTGCTGCAGAGTATCTAACTGAAATCAAGATGGCGGCGCCCACGACAAATTACCGTCCCCATCTTTATACTCATTACTTACCAGTAAATGACAATTTCCTATATTTTTATCCCAAAGATCTTGTACCGCGAGGTAACAATTTTATAACAATGCAACAGCGTTGAAATAACAAACAAATACTGTCAAATTAAGATCCTCTGAGAAGATATTGATATCGCCGGCATGGAAACAGGAATCAAAAACGGCATGCTGACTGTCCGTTTCCCGCCTCAAGCGATCTTCAGATCGTCTGTGGATCGTTTTAGGCATGAAAAACACTCTATATCTATAAATGCTCTATCTAAGATATTGAGCACTGTTCCCTATAAATATAGCACATTTTAAACAATATATATTGGCTGAACGAAGTCGAATGATGAGGGTTTTTTTTGTTGTTTTTTTTATTTGTTTTTTTTTTTGCCAACTCGACCTCGGCATACCTATCATCAAGAGAAAAGAAAGGATAAATTAATTGACCCCCAAGATTCTGCAGGGTCTGCATCTGTATGGATCTGACATTCCCACATTGTAACGTAAAATCGATAAGATCTTGTGTTATAGCAAGTTACTACAAGGGTTACTGATAATGATGAATACTTGATTATTGATAATGATAATTTGGCCCCGAAACCATGTCTATACAACTTGAATTCTTAGCTCTTGAACTCAAGTAAATGTTTTGGTTAATTAATGGATCAGAAGAAAGTCAATGAATTTTCAGTGCTGAAATACCAGGTTAGTACAGCTCATAGAAAACTTACTTCTTGCAATTGCGATTACAAAATTGACCAAAAAGCACTTCCCGTGTCAGCCACAGAAATCTAAAGAATAGTGATTGTTTTATTATATATCTTGCTGCCCAACCTATTTTTTACAAGTATAAAGAAATGTGTTTGTGTTTCGTCATAATCCAGGATCGGCTGAATCTGTTTCCGATTAGCACTTTCTAGGGCTGTTATCATTTGTAACCAAAAACTTGATATAACAATGTGAATATTTTTTTCATGATGCGTGAGCACGCGGGCGAGCGAGCGCGTGTTACCATTATCCTCACTTAGATTACATCACCAGTTGTTTTGGTTTTTTTTCAAATTCTTTATTTCACATTGCCCGACGAATCTAAATCTATCAAAGACAACTTGGAGTCGTGCGTTGCCTTTTATGGAAGAAAGACCTAGTTTCTTTATACTGAATAAGAAAAACGCATAAAAAAACAATAAATTTTGAAAAAAAGAAGCATCTGTCAAAATAAGCACAAAGAAACGGTAAAAAGAAAGTAATTAACAATCAAAAGAAGAATATACATAAGCAATCATTACTCTCCACGATTTTCTGACTCTTGTAGCCCTAAATAAATTTTATCTTTTCGTTATTTCTAAACCCTGTTTCGCCATCCATTTTCTCAAGGTTGTCAAGTATGTTATGCATTGTTTGTCTGTCCCTCTTGCTCTCAATCTGTCCTGTGAGTAACAGATTTTTCATGCCTTCCTCGATATCTGCCCCAGAAATTCTGTCTCTTCCTGGTGTTAATTAAAGTAGGCGGTAAGAAAAAAATGCAAGAAAGAATTTTTCGCTCCACTCCTAACACAGAGACATTTACGTAGGTACATCAATAAGTCTGTAACGTAATGTTTAAAAAAATTCTTGACGTTTCCGAAATGGAGAATTATTATTTACCAGCGGTAATGTGCGGATGTTTTGCAGTATTTTGTTTGTTTTTGTTTTTTGTTTTTGTTTTTTGGTTTTTTTTTTGGTTTTTTCATTTTTTCACATTGGATTTTGTCGCTGGTGACATCTCAAATGGCTCATTAGACCTGCAATATTCTTGCATGTCTCGCCACATTTATTGCGTATCCGTTTTTTTCTGCAGCAGCTTGCCTTTTCTGAAAGTTGATATTTATCATGCTGACTGAGTTCACTGGATGGCCTACACACTTTGTTAGTGAGACTGCAAGAGATATAAAGCTAGATATTATATTGGTAGACAGCTGAAATTTCGCAGTATTTTTTAAGTTTCACAATGAAGTCTTATACAACAGTGATCGCGAGGAACACGTATAAATTAATATATTTAAATGTAAACTTTAAACATTTTACCAAACTATTTATATCAGGTCATTAAAATATTACACCTACACTTTTTCGCTAAAGAGCATAGCATGGGGAAAAAGGCTCGCAAGCTGATAAAAACAAAGTTTTATCATCAAAATGTTTATGTTATTATTAAGAGGAAAGACCAAAGTATTTTTACTATTTTATTAATTTTTAATCCTTTCTAGCACGTTCGAAATTTTGGTTAAAATCTTGTTTTTCTTGCTTCAGCGGTAAGCCAAAGATTACTATGGGAAATTTAGCGTCTTTTTTTTCGGTCAGAACACATTGTTTTGGAAAATAGGTAGCCACATTGTAAAAACTGTTTTCATGTTTCAGCGTTTGTTTGTTTTTCAATTCGTTTTCTCACAACATCTATTGCCTCCACCCATATAGAAAGAGCCTACTGGCTGACCTACACACTTTGTTAGTGAGACTACAAGAGACATAGGGCTGGATGGTAGACAACGATAAGTTCTCTTTTAACTGCTAATATAAATTTTGGATATTTTGTCTTTTCATCAGGTCATTTATATAAAATAGGAAAGCGAAAGGAAAAAAAAAATGCTTTAATGCATACCCATTTTGCAAATAGGTTTTTATGTCATCTTTTTTTTAATCATATCACCCCATACAAGGTAGTGAAGTCACTAAGACACGAGGGGTTACTGAGTGTGGAAGAACAAGACAAAAAACAAAGAAACATTACTAAAGGGCGAGAAAAATAGAAGACAGTAGATAGCGATTGACATTTCATTTAAATTTTTGAGGATGAAAGTTGTCGGGAAAGCATGAAGCCGGAAAGAGAGTTGCACAAAGGAGAAGTGCGAGAAAAGAAACTGTTAGCATAGAACTTACGGTTACATCCAGCCAGTTCAACTGTGAATTGATGAGACCTTGTAGCCAATCTAGTATTGCGCTTAAATTCATAAAGTCTAGGTACCATAGCGAAAAGTTCATCTGAACAATTAACATGAAAATATTTATAGAAAAGGCAGAGAGAAACAACTTTACGGTGGTGGGAAAGTGACTGAAACCAAACCACCAACTCAGGCCCAATAATATTTCTGATGCTTCTTTGGATTTTGTCAAGAATCTAAATATACAACATGAGCACCAGACCATATGTGGCAGTAATATTCAAAATATGAACGGTAGACTTATGAATATGCAAGATAGATTCTGAAGAGTCTAGCACGACACAATGAACCGATTTTCTTAACAGCAGACCTAGGAATGATTTCAATATAGTCTTTCTACTTTATGTCAGCTGAAAAATCGAGTCGGCGTAACGAGTCACTCTCACAGAAGTTAGCATCAACCATGCTGATGGAAGGCAGGAAGGAGTCTTTCAGGTGATTAATGGGGACAAGTTTCGTTTTGGAGGCATTAAAATTAACAAGCCACTCCTTGCCCTAGTTAACAACAAGCTGTAAGTCATCTTTTAGATCACCTGTCAAGTTCACCTTATCGAACTGATCAGACTTATTATCGTAACAGGTGAAAATAGTTGTGTCATCAGTATAGATACCAAGATGAGAACTGATGTCACCAGTAAGGTCGTTGATGATAACTATGAATAAACTAGTTCCAAGGATAGATCCCTGGAGGACACCTACATTATTTCATTTACAGCGGGAACCGTGGAAATTCCATGGATTTTTTTTACTCTTATTACAGAAACTAATCATTTCGGGCTAGCATACTATACCATTTCAATGAAGCAGACGTTAAATGCACGAGAGCGTTATCAATACCTGGATCTTCATTTTCTTTTCTTCTTGAAACGTATATATACAGCTTCAACGCAACCCAGAATGAGGCTTGCCTGAAGTTTTATATTGATTGATCGATTTGTTTTTTACGACTTATCAACCTTTTGCAGGTTATTTAAAGCCGGAAAATATTTTAGATTGTCAGAATTTTTTTTGTCGGGGGGATAACAATGATTTTTACTGATACAAGTTCTACTAATTAATCCATGACTTGTGGCGTTTAGTGGAGTTATAAATTTCCCAAAAAGATTTGCCAGTATTAAATATAACGAACTCGACTGGAAATGGATCTCGGCTCTACAATTTTCCAATTCTGAGCAGTTATCCATTAGACCAGCCGCACATCCAAGCTTACAGGATCTGGTATTCCCAAGTGGTCACCCATCTTGGTACTGACCAGACTCGATGTTGCTTAACTTCAGTGCTCGCACGAGAACTGGTGTTTCAATTTGATATGGCTATAAGCTTGCCGGAAGTTTTAAAGAAAGGGTGAGATATTCACTTTCTCTGCTGTTGCTGTACCAAGAATTTGTGGACATGGAATAGGTACAAAGGCACAAGCAGGATGATAGTATGATCAGTCAGTTATGTGCCATGCGTGATACACGCTTAGGCGATCATGTATCCTCTCGATACATGACTGACGAGGCAGATTTGCCATTTCTTTCTGCGGTAGACCACTTGCCACCCAAAGCCTATAGAACCCACTCCGAACTGCTACTGCCTCATAGCTGGGGTGGGGGGAGAAGAGGATTCATACCTTTCCCAAGTCGAACTGTAGTCGTGATCTTTGTTTTTATAGTTACAAAATTCTAGTCGTTGTACACTTCGTGCATATACTTTGGTAACATTCCTGGTATTTCAAACCGAACCCGTTTTTAAAACCAAAGCTGGTAAACTGTTCTCATCCTGGTATTCATGCCAATTTGTTGAGTCTTCTCCCTTAAAGGTTTTGTGCTTGGAAATTACTGCAAGTGTTAATTTTCAACCGAATTTCACTACAAATTAATAAGACATAAATTATATTTTAACACGATGTTTAAGCATATATTTCATTTTAGTTTTACTGTGTTTATTATCGATAAAATAATCAAAATTAATACTAGTCTATCATAAAAAATGTACTACTAATGTAGCAATGGCCTCTATGTGGTTAATATATTCTTGTGTCGCTGAACCAGGCTAAATTGATTTCACTGCTTGCCCCATGGATTGAACGTACAAACACATGGTAACTTATATACGTTTAACCAACGTTTATACCGACTAAAACCGTGTAGTTTAGAAGGAGGTGGCAGTGGAATATTAAAACCTCAATACATCACAAATACTTACTTTCCAACATAATTTCCTTCGTTATCAATGCAACTCAATGTCAAATATTAATAACATTAATATCGAACATTATAGAGTGATAATTTCAGATCAAAATTCTACTAATAACTATGTATCAGCCTGCTGACCTATACGGTACATCTTAGTGGTGTCGATGGTTCACAGCTAGGTTGTAGAAATTACGTTTCACGGCATTGCGCGTGCTCGAAAGTGAGTTAGCAAAATAAAATTTGAACACGTCATGTCGTCTGCGGTCATTTTAAATCAGCGATTTCAGTTGCTAATATGCTTCCTGGAAACGCGTGTAAATTTTGCTATATTATCTTTTACATCTGCACAAGATAATAGAATATTAAGGTGTAATGGGTAGCGACTGAGAAGCAGAAACTGGAGAATTATAGTCGAGTTTCGTTACAGTCACTTTCGTACGGATACTCATGGTAAAGATATGAATTCATCTCTTTTCTTAAATTGTAGGATGGATTGGTCTTTCAGCCTTTGTTGGCAATCAGTCGAGGAGAAGGACAATTATGAATTCAAAATCGTGTATAGCCCTAGAGAAGTAAATACTATGCATCTAACAAAAAGATCTTGAAGCTTACAATGACTCCATCATCCCGACTACGGTTGTTTAATCAGTCAATCTTGTGCCACCATTTATTGCATTGTTTCGTCTATTTCTTTATTATATTACATAGTTTATATATTTAATACATTGATGTATGTATTTACTGTGTACACGGTTATTATCTCAAATTGTTTTGTCATGGGTCCTTACCTATAACTACAGAATGAACTCTTCCTAACACAATGTATACTACGCCTCTCAAGAGAGAGGGAGGAATCAAGCCGAACTTCTCAGCCTTGTGCCACATGCAACCCTCGGAGGGGGGGGCTAGATACCGAATTGAGTCGAGCTTCTCGGCTTGATGGTCGAACTCTCTGCCTCTGAGCAGAGAGGAACCCGGACGAGACTCCGCCGAAGGGCAGAGTCTCGTTCGGGGAGGTTGACCAACCCGATTCTGTTTTTACAGTTTCTACGGGCATTTTTTGGCCGAGCCTACGGGCTCGGAAAACCTACGAAAAACTCGGCCTTGTGCCACATCTTTCCCTTGTTGTGGGGGGGGGCAGTAAATATCGAATCGAGTTGAGCCTATAGTAGTTCACTCCAAACCAGACTGACAGTCATACTAGCACCTTCCACATCTTGTATTATTATTTCGTGTAATATACCTTCGTTATTTCTACTCTTGTGTTCGTGTTCGTCTTCCTTGGTCCTATCGTGGACCATAACAGTTTTGATAATATTTTTCAATCATATCGAACCCATAAAAGGCAGTAAATCTTGCTAAGACAAAAAGGGTTACTGTGTATGGAAGAATCACACTACACATGTTCACGAATGAGGGATGTTGGGGATATTAGAAAATTTTTTACCGATTTCATTTAGTCTATTTTTCTTTTTTTTTTCCATCACTTCTGGTAGTAGATACTTTGATGATAAAAAAATTCTAAAATTCCCAGCATCTTTCGTTCGTGCGCATGGGTAGTCGCACCAACATAACAAATTCAGTTCACAACTAAACTTTTTCCACTTTGTCATACATTTTTGTATTGTTCTTGACATTTAAAAATTTATATCGTTATCTCACACATATATATATATATATATATATATATATATATATATATATATATATATATATATATTATGCACAGTACTTAGTGGAAAGTGTTCAATATGAAGATCACCATGTCCACAAACAGAATCCAACTTAACTAAAGTGGTGGTGGAAGACCCAGACTAATGGGAGAATATGTGCGCGTCTACATGTGTATATATGTGTGAGGAAGTGTAAGTTTGTGTGACGGCGCAGGTTGCCGATCTGAAAAAAACGTCAAGAACACCCCCCACCTGTTCCTTGTTGAAAGAATATCGCTACATATATAAACGCTACAGTCCCGACACCGAAATAGAATTACAATTGCGTGTATATATGTATGCTTGAACGCATGGATACGCATCTGCGCCTAACCTAGAATTATTTATATGGGTGTGTTTGTGTGAAGTAAAATGCGTACACCGGTATTTATATGTGTCTATGTGTGTGAGAGTGTGATCCTAAACAAACACAGTAGAAAATTCCCCTTCCATCACCAAACAAAATCAAACACAAATAACCATAAATGGATCCATAAAAAAAATAAACCAGTTTCTCTGCTGATCCCAAAAGAGTGAAACCCAGGATCACATTGGGGTATCCATACAACTGAGTATATATATATATATACTGAAATTCGTAATCTGGAGTGCTTAATCAATTGTAATATATAAAAAAAGAACTCCAAATTATGAACTTCATTTTTTTCAAACTTTTTAAAAAATCACGTCGTATGGGAATATTTTGTTTTGGCTTCCGTAGGAGAAGCAATTTACAATGTATTTACATAACAAATTGAACCCCCTTATTAACTTAAAAAAAATAATTTCAAAAAATTAATATTCAGGATCTGGATTTCTTAATCTACAGTGATATGAAAAAAATATTTCCGGTCGCAATCCCTATTGCACAACTCCAATCTCTTATTTAACCATCAGATTTTACAAGTATGGTCATAGTTCCTACAAACAGACACGAAAGATGTACCTGTCTTTATCATGTCGTACAATCAGAGATAATATTAACCGATATTAATTTTAGTTTGACTGAGTATGAGATACAGTCCGAATAAGATTATATTACGCCTATTTTCCAAGTAGGGAGAATATGACTACCTAGAAAATTAGCACCCTAAATTGTGGCTTTTACTTACTTGAATCTGCAGTTGGTGTCATGAATCACAGGTTCGAACAAGAAATCGAAGAGTAAAGTCTGAATTTCGGTCGTGTTCGTTACACTCATTTCGCACATTTATATTCAGAATCGTTCTTCTTCTACGCTGGTAGCCAGCCAAGGCTAGAAAGTCCCCTGCTCTGCTATTTAACCCATTGCCAGGCCGGAGAATAAATGCATTTCCCCAACGATATTTGAGCGTCTATTCTCAGCCTCTCGTGAAAAACAGGAAAAAAAATTTCACTTCATTAAGAAAGAGGGCTTGGAGATTTTAACACTCACAGAACATACTGGGGACGAGAGAAACAGAGGAAAACAGCACATAACCTACCTAAGTAGTTTGTGTAAATGGATGGCAGAACAGGGTTTAGGAGAGATAGCAAAAACACAAAATTTATTAAGATCTACAAAGGATAGGAAATTGTGAAAAGTAATGATTCCCAACGTCCTGAAGAGACATAGAACATAGAAGAAAAAGAGGTGAGGGAAAAGCATAAAACTTTCTTTTTTCTTACAAAGCTTCTGTGTCATAGTTATAAAACAGGGATGGGCAGCCAAGAAGTGGGCCACATTGTACATGGTTCGTAATTAGGCGGGCCACAATACTAAAACAATTTTAAGTAATTTTTCATTTAAACGACAGAAGATCAATCTACCTTAGAAATGGCGAAAAGTTGTTTCATTTTGCCATTGAAATGTTTTCGAAAATTAAAAATTTACTTGGTATAATATTATCCCTGATGATAATGTTATTGACACACGTTACTTATATTACTCCTTCATATACATATATATATATATATATATGAAGAAATATATTCTTTAGTTGTGCTATATTTATGGGATAAAGTGCTCACTATCAGAGATATAGCGTGTGTAAATATAAAAGTGAACACTGAAGTCAACACTTAGAGGCGACAGTCTGTTTCATGCTGGACGCAATCGTCAGGCCACGAGTGCTATATATATATATATATATCATATAGACAAATCAGTTTACTCACTACAAAGATGCAACTTCGTTTCAGTGCATTTCAATTGCACCTCGACTGGTGAAAACCAAGATTGCTCTACTATCGGTATCGAAACCTCTTTTGAATTAATGCTGTGAACGTTAAAATTTATATATTATTTTCGTTCTCATTGCATCAAATATATATATATATATATATATATATATATATGACATTTTCGTCGATGTTGGCTGTCGGCAGCGGAAAATAAGCTAAAACAACCAATGCGCCATCGTTACGGTTTTTGACAACGACAACACTAGTAGAATACTGTGGGGT